AAAAAAAAAAGACAGCAACTATAGACCATGACGGCAAGGATGAACACATCAGTTTTCACGTGACTTGGAAGAAGGTGACGATGATGATGGTGTCAACTCCCTCACAACAGTTGAGCCGTCATCACATGCGAGAACAATGCTGTGCTTTTCCCTCTTTGACCATTCTCCCACCGATTCCGTCGCCGTTGTCGCTGGAAGCACAGCCATACTGTGACAATCCACTTCGACTTCTGTTGTGTTCCTTTTTCTACTAGAGCTGCTGTCAACTCCCCGCGTCGCGTGTGCATCACCGCCAGGGGCAGCAGCATCAGCGGCAAGACTAGTAGTGGCAAGACTGGTGGTAGCTGTGGTGTCTTTCTGCGTCATCGCTGAAATCGCTGCACACGAGGATGACGTCAGGGCCTTGCAGGGCGGCGGCAGTGCTTTCTCGCCCACAGCGGAAACCGTGCCTGGGGTCTTGAACGACCCCGCGGCTTGAACCGCCACAAGCGACGGAGACTCCCGCGCAATAAAAAAGTCGAACTGCTCACTTTCCTCAGCTATAGTTTCAAAGTACTTCTCCAGCTTGCGGAGACGCTGCTGTTTTTTGTTAATATCGTTCTTTTTATTGGAGGAGGAGAGACCACTTCCAGTCGTCCCCTCGCCTTCGCGAAGCGGGCCGTCGTATGCGCTGTGTGACTGCTGCTGCTGCTGCTGCTGCAGGCTTCGCCTCGAACCGGACTGCGAGCCGCGACCAAAGCTACTCGTCGGCAAAGTACTGCACGAGCCGGTGGGCCAAGCCGACACGTCGATGTCGGCGCGAAGAGCAACAGCACCGTTACTGCCTGCGTTCACGTTTGGTCTGCCGCTACTGCCAGGGCCAGAAAGGCCTTCAGCTGCGGTTGCCAATCTTTCCGACTTGGCACCGCTGCTGTTGCGATGGGGACTAATCCTTTTCTCTGTGTTCTTTTCCGCAGCCATACCCGTCCTTTCCTTCCCATCATTGCCCTGGTCGCGGCTGCTTTCATCACCAGCCCCAGCCCCATCAATAACATCCTCATCTTCATCATCATCATCATCATCTTTATCATCCTTGTAGAACGACACCATCATGGCCGTGTCGCTGGCACCAACGGCATCTCTCCGCCGCTTGCGAATGAGCCGAATCGCCTCCTCCGCACTCGGACGCCGCACTGGATCGGGCTCAAGCAGATACACAATGAACGCTGCCAACGCCATGCTGTAGCCGTACACCACCGTCAGCTCATCCAGCAGCTTCTTCTTGAAGTCTGGCCTGTTGCATTCGCTAAACATCACCTTCACATTATCACTCTCAACTCGCTTTGCGCAGGCCGCGTATAGAATGCAGCCTACAGCCCATATGTCCACTTTGGTGGAGTAACGACGCTGCCAACACTCGGGTGCCACGTACGGAAGCGAGCCGACGCCGGTTTCGCAGAAAGTCTTGTCCATCACACGTGAGAGTCCAAAGTCTGTGACAACAATGTGCATAGTCTCCGCGCTGCCTCTGCTGTTGTTTTTGGTGGTATCAGGTCCACAACCCCATTTCTGAGATCGACCACGCTCAGAAACCGAGTCGAGCAGAATATTTTCTGGCTTCAAATCACGATGGATAATGGGAGGGTCGTGGCGGTGCATAAACTGCAGCACAGTGAGGATCTGAAACGCGATACTCACGATCGTCGACTCCGGTATCATTGGCTCCGTCCGCTGCTGCCGAATCCACTTGCCAAGATCCCCCTTCTCGTGGTAGGCCATCACAAGCGAGAGGTACCGCTCGCCCGGCGTTGCCGAGGCCACTCGTCGCTGCAGCACCGGGTGGACATCTGTGTCGCTATCAATGCGCAGAATAAGTGCCTTCTCTGGTGACCTCCAATCGGCCTCAGACTGCTGCTGACGACCCCCACGGCCACTATGCAGGTTCGTATCAAAGCGGTACGACATGAACATGTCAACGAGGCGAATAACATTTGGGTGTCCCTGCAGTGTGTAGGCAACCTCGCACTCCCGCATTGCCTCAAGACGATCCACGTCATCGGCGCACTGAACGTACTTCAACGCGAAACGCTGTCCATCCGTCACACGCTCCACAAGGTACACTACGGAGAAACTTCCACGACCAAGGCGGTGCAGCACGCGGTACTTGCCGTCCAGAAGGCCTTGCTTTTGATACGTGGGGAGGGCCGCTCCACGACCAACGGCATGGCTTCGCTTCTCCTCATCGCTACCGTCGTCATCCAACAGCAAGCGTTGCCGTTCCCTTTCGTCCCGTTTCCTGGATCTGCGACTTTTTTCGTAGCGGTAGGCCACACACAACAGAGCCAGCAGTGTGATGACAGCGCATACTATGAGCGCTGCGATGATGCTACTTGAAATACCGGTATCATGTGAGGGGACTGGGGGAAGAGTCGTTGTCGTCTCCGGCACCCACTTTGTTACGGGTGACAGAACAAACGGTTTCTCGGCATTCAATGGCTTGTAGAATGCAGTGGTGCAGGGAGCTTTTTTAACCCGTCCTTCCCTCATCGATGAATGCAAACTCTTACGATTGCTACCACACTGGGGAAGACTGAAGGCACCACTCGAAAAACACACGTAGAGGAACTTTTGTTCGTAGAAGGGCCTCTTTGTGTTATTACCTATGCTTGGCTGCACACGACGGCGACGGAACGTAACGGAGCCGTCTGCAGTGCCAGATACATCTGACTGCTGCCCAGTGAGACTCTGGATGCCCTCCGCCAGAGAACCTATGAGCGTTACGGGTCCCACCGCAATGAAGTTCTTCCACGAAGCAGTGTTGGTCTGTGGATCGACTACCTTCACTTGGTATGGCTGGGCGTTGGCGGAGGTCAAGTTGCCCAAATCCAGAAGGGGTGAATTGCACGCCGGGGATTCGGAGAGACGCAGCAGACAGGATGACGTCTGGACGAAATCGTGGGGTGAGACGCTCTTGTTGAACTCAACAAGACCAGGGCAGGCATGCGCGGTGTTTTCCGAGAGAAGAATGTTGAATGTGAAGTTATACCACAATGGCTCGTAACCGTTGACATACACCGTAATATTTCCATCATTGTTCGGCAGATCTTTTGGCGGTGGACGAGGTGGCGGCGTCGGCGGAACCTCAGTCGGTGTGATTGTAGGGCTGATGGTTGGCGACACGGTAGGAATGGTGGTTGGTGTCATGGTAGCATCAAGCGTCAACGTTACAGTTTGAGAGGGGTGTTGTGAGTTGGTGTAGTCTCCTCCCTCTGAGCTCTCGGCAGCCAATGGGAATGAGACGGTGTCATCTGTCGCTGGTGCTGCTGCTGCTGGTGGTGACGCTGCTGTATGAACATACTCTGGCAGAATCCTCTCCTCCGCTGCACCCCACGCGTGCAACGCTGGAAACTCAATGTATGATGCCTCCTCTTCTATGAACGAAACGTAGTGAAATCCAAAAACGCTCACCGTCACGTGGCCATCATCCACCTGCATCGTGCCGGTGAAGACATCAGAGGAAATGCCTGCCCCCTCTGGCGGCGGTATTTGCCCCCCGGCGAGGTACACTGTGACAGAATCTACATTGGGTATCGCTGCCATAACGGCATTGCCCCGCAATGGGACAAAACCAATCGGCACGACACTTGGACCTTCTCGCATATGAAGAAGGTCTGGCCACACCTGCTGCTGGCCAAACGATCGGCCATGTGTAGCTCCCATCACCGCCAGAGTGTGATTGTACATGATGAGCTGCGGAGAGAACCAATCGATCACCCACGGTGCGCCATATTCACCAATTTCACCTCTGGATGATGCGGGATCAATGACGCTAACTTCCGTCCGAACCCGTAGGCGCCCATTGGAGAACGTGTATCCGCCACCGATGAACACCAACTCACTGCTCTCCAGTACACCAGTTCCAACGATCGCTTCATCAAGAAGCCACCCTGCCTCAACGAATTGACCCGTCACAACGTTGTACTGCGACACAGAGGCCAGCGGCACGTTATTCTCGAGGGAGACACCGCCAAAAATGTAAATGGTTTCGTTGCCGTCCCCGACGCAGCTGGCATTGAAGCGCAGCGTCGCCGTCTCTGGAAGACTTGTGTTGCGAACGTCCAGCGTGACGTCGTCGACCGGTGAGAACTCCTCTTCATAGAGCCGAATCACCTGCACCGAGCGTAAGACCGCGTTGAAGTCGTCATCCGACTCGATCACCACGTTGCTGGGGATCATCGTGCAGAAGCCAACAACATACGCGGCGAGGCCAAGCCGCACGGTGCTTGCGGTTCCAACAGCAGGAAGCGTGAGCTCCGCGGGGACGCGCTGCGGCAGCGGCGGCTCCTCACCGCTCCGCGAGTCGTGCTGCACCTCCGACTCGTTGTGCACGAGCATCAGCGGTGACACGAGTGCCCCCATCGTGACGTCTAACACGTTGATACTGGACAGGGCATAGTCCCGCACGAATTCCGACGCGTACGTGAATGGCGGCACAACAGCGCTGCCCCCAATGATGAGAAGGTAGCGGCCCATCGCCACGGCGGCGGGGAGAATACCAGTATTTTCTAGCTTCACCGCACTGGGGTTCCATCCGTCGAAGGTGACGGTCGTGCTGGGCAGAGCAGTCTTCTTACTTCTGGCAAAGTCCCGCACTGCCCGCAGCGCCGCTGCGTCTGGGGCAACATGTGCGGAAGGAGCAGCAGCCAGAGCATTAACTACGGGACAAATACACCATCCACTCATCGCATTACCGAGCAGCGGTGTGCCCACGTCAACAAGGTGAGTTGGACACATGAAAAACAAGAGAAAAGCATGCAGCAGCAGGGCCCACGTCCGCAGGGAGCGACATGAATACCGCGGCGCTCTGTGCTGAGACGCGGTGGTCATTCCCTTGCTGTTACCAGTACAAAAAGAACAAACAACAACTATTAGGATTACGGCCTTTGCCACTGCCCTGGTTCACCTATTTAGGCCAGCTCCACGTTCCTTACCACCTTTCTTGATACGAACAACAAGAAACCGAAGACTTGAAGAGAAAGAAAAAACAAGAAGCGTATCCAAACACCAACCCCTTTTCCACTTTATGCGATGCCCAACGATGGGGATCCATGATAATGCGTCAGGACACCCCAACAGACGGGTAGGACGTGACGTTTTTCGAACATACAGATGACCTGCAGAAACAACAGAATGCATCGGGGGCACACATCCGCACCTAGGCGCATACCCCGGGCGAAATAGGTGCAGGTGCACCAAGAGCCAAACGACAAAGCAACAACAAGAACGAGACCCCCCCCCAAACAAAAAACAACAACAACACACACACACACACATGGAGGATGACGTCTGCAGAAAGATGTTGAGGGAGAGAGGAGAGGTACAGCAGCGAGGAAGGCACGCCCCATCCACCCATCTTTACTCCCTCCACTCCACCTTTACTCATCCGCTGCGTCTTCTCGTTCACTGTGTGTCGTCTTCCGTTTCGCCTCCCCCCCTTTTTTTTGTCCCCCACTCACACACACGCTTGTGCGTCGGTGTATGCGTGAGTGTGTGGCTGCATGCATTCGTGTACGCATGTATGTTGTAATGTTCGCTCTCTCTCTCTCTCTCTCTCTCGCTTTTGTTTTGGTCATCCGTGTTTCATATACCATTTCGGCTTTGTTTGTTCCTTCGCTTATATTACGAAATGAAGCCTGCGCGTCCCCCACCAACAAAACAAAACAAAACAAAAAAACAAAACAAAAAACTTGCGCGCAAATTTTCGGCGGCGCCGTGCAGCTTGACCCGCTACCACTCGCACATCTCTCTCTCTCTCCCTCTCTCTTCTCTTACTGGACGTGATGCTACCACTCCCGGCGTGTTGCCACACACGCGCCTTGAGGTTTCACAGATTCATTCATCCATTCGTTTCACGTTTCTCTTCCCTTCGTGTTTTCTTATTCGTATAGGTTCATCATTTTTATGTTCTTTTTTTTTGTTTTTGTGTCTCTCTCCCTCTCTCTCTCTCTCTCCGTGTGTGTGTGTGTGGGTGTATGATTTGTTCTTCTGGCCTTTTGCTTGTTCCTGCCCGTCTTCTCCTCCCCCCCCCCCCCC